AGGTCAAAATTCCCCACAAAGTGGCAATCAGCAACCGAAAAAAAATCGATAAAACCACGGCCAACACATAAAGCTGCAACTTCTAATTGCTAATCGATAAAGTCAGTTTACACTGTGAAAAGGGAGAGGCAGTCCAGCTCTTCAAAATGCCCGCGAACAAATAAATTAATTCCGGTGAGCACAACCTGATCTATGATGCTTAGCCCGGAATTCTGTTTTTCGCAAACTTCCGTATAAATGAAGTAAATAATAGGCAAATTAATGTAGAAGTGGACGTGAATTAAAAATCACTGAAGACCAGATGCAATCAAAAACAGCCACCGCCGACCACATGATCAAATACGGATGGCAAGTGATCCTTTCCCCCCCCCTATACCGCATAACCACATGCAAGTGATAACTATTTTCCCACTGCCCACATTATCAAATGCGGATGATGATTATATCTTCACACTCTGACACTCTATATAATCCTGTGGTAGTCGTCGGTTTAAGTTAACCGTTTTTGTACAGTCCGACGACGATCTAGGGAACCAGAGTCGCAAAATGCACCTAATAAACATCATTCTTTCCCAAAGGACCTTATTGGTCATAAAACTATCGCCTGGGATGCCGATATTTAAATACAAAAAAACATAACGTATGGAAACTAAAAAGAGCGTGATTATTAAAAAATAAATAGAAAGTATAAGCAAATCGAAGGCATCTGAATAGAACGCCGGCCCGTGTGTTGAATGTACTGAGTTATATCGGAACAGGAAGCCAAACCGTCTAGCCAAATTTGGACAGATATTGCAGTAGGATAAGCCGAAAAGCAAGCACACGTCAATTAAAATATTTCCATGTGGGGAGTGTACTAATATATATCACAATAGGAGGGTCAACCTAAATTGGGCCGCTGAACGCTAAGGATTTCCGTGTGTTTATACCAGGAGGAGTCCCTACCTGAAGCGATAGTCATCATCCAGGAAGAGAAAGGCGTCCGCTTTCCCACGACAAAAAGCCGACGCCCAACGATAGTTGGTAATCATTTTGTAGGTCAAATTCACATAGGTGTCCTCGTAGTCACCGAGGATGAGGTCATCGTAGACGTCTGCTTCCTCGTGAACCCGGCGCAGAGCCTCCTCTCGGCGTCCAGCCCAATCCCTGAGCACAGCGCCAGCGCGTTCTGGCAAGCGAATGGAGAAGCCATTCATGTGGAAGGTGTTTCCACCAGATGTGCGAGGCAGTCCCACGGAGAAGACGATGGCGATCCGATTGCCGCTCACCTCCGCAAGCTGTGCATACTCGGTGCGCAGCTTTTGTCGGTCCTCAAAGTTGTAAATGGCAGACTTGTAGACCACCACCAGGTCATGGTGGTGTGTGGAGGTGTTTGATGGTGCGCAAATTGACTGACTGACCCGGATGAGTTTAATATTTGGATTTGTAATTGGTGCCTAAAGTTGGGAAGCAAGAAAACCTGATGACTGAAAGGATGATGGTTGGGCAAAAAAGAAAAAAAATTGAAAGGCTGGTGCCTCAGATACGCCCATCTGCTCTATTCAGTGCCAGCCAGCGACAACTGCAAACAAAGTCAGGGAAGAGGTGCGTTCCTCATGGTCGTAGGACGGAATAAAGCCGCTTTCTAATAACCATGGAGGACAAAAATGCAGAGTTGCGCTGACTCAGAGCTTTCCAACCATCAGCGTCCCAGTTACCAGAA